GAATTCAAAAATGCAATAAAAATAAGTGGTTACCATTTGAAATTTTAAAGTTGGCGCTAATTTCTCATAGTTTCGGAAGTTCAGCCATTTTGAAAATAATTTAATTGAACTTAGACTGGTCGATTTGGGTTGTGTACAAAACTTCAAATTCCTATCTGCATTAGAAGTTAAAAAGTTTCTAATGTAGGCCCTAAAAGAATCACCTTGTATATCTATAGTTATCGATAATTTTTTAATTATGGAGATATTGATATATCGATAATTATTATCGATAATTATTATCGATAATTATTATCGATATACCGATAAATACAGGGTGTTAAAAAAAGATTGTAAAATATTTCAGGACGTAATAGTATGGTGAACAAAACACGATTAAACCCGTCACACCAAACTTTTATTTCAAAAACAATGCGTTTTGTACTACAAAGTGGTCATCCTCAGGTGAGAATAAAAAACAGTTTTTATTCTCACCTGAGGATGACCACTTTGTGGTTGAAACGCGTTGTGTTTGAAATAAAAGTTTGGTGTGACGAGTTTAATCGTGTTTTTGTTCATCGTTTCCATACCAAGAGGATCCAATAAGAAGAAAAAGCGTAATAGTGTGGATCAAAACAAACAAAAAAGTCTTAATAAATCTGGGTCCGCAAGGTAACGGTTTCGGAGTTATAGAAGATTATTCGTTTTTTGAAACATTTATTTGCAATCTGTTCCAACAAAAAGAAAAACTTCTAGCAAAAATTTTAAAAATTTTCAATGTGATATCTCCGAAACAGTTTAATACATGTTTATTAAGACTTTTTTGTTTATTTTGGTCTATACTATTACTTCCTTAAATATTTTACAATCTTTTTTTAACACCCTGTATAGATAATTATCGATAGAACGATAAATATCTATATTATGGTTTTAGCACTAGTTATTTTGTAACCTCTATACATAAAGTCCTTGCATTTTAGTTACGGATTTTAAGTTATGTTATAAATTATATCAACAACTAGCATTCGCTTGCGACTTCGTCCGCGTGGATTTCTGATATAAAAATGGTCCGTTTACAAAATTCTATAGGCTTATTTTATAGAACTATATAGTCCTGTTCTTTGCTTTATTTATGAGTTATAAGTGGTGTGTAGCCTGTTGTTTGATTTTGATTAAAATGTTATTTAACGTCACAAAAAAAACTTCAAAAAAAATTGCAAATTTTTGGTCTCAGAGGTGGATGACGAATTACTTGCGGACCAAGCTGATTCCATGATTTGTTTTGAGTTAAAATTGAGAGGTTGTTGGATTTCAACAAATTTAAGATTTTCAGCCCCAATACATAGGACTTTCCAAAATTTTTTCTTAGTACACCCCTAGAGATATGCGATTGGCCCGCGGACACGGCTGAACTCGTTGTTTGATCAATCAAATGCACAATTTTTTTACCAACTAAAGCCCGAAGTAAAAAGCATCCAAATGATGCTTGATTCATTTCAGAATGCACTTTTTAGAAGACGATTTTCGAAAAATCCTTTTTTAGCGGACCTCTAAGCCCTCTAGCTTCAGTGGTTTAGGCAGTGTGTTGTATGTCAGTCAGTCATAGGGTTATTATACAGGGTTATTCAAAAATATGAAGCAATATTTGAACCTCAAAATTGACTTATAAAATAATGTTAATTTAAATAATAACTCGTATCCTATCTGTACTGATAAGAATTTTACAGCCCTCGGAATGTGGGTATGAAATTTGTTTTTTTTTTGTAATACCTTTGGAACACTTTGACCAAGTATAAAATTTGAAACAGTTACTTGCGAGAACATACCTTTAAACTGGTAATTACGAAAACCGGATACATCTGCTCAATTTCCGGTTCCAGCAGTTGTAGGTCATATTTTCTGTGTTTTTTTCAAAACAATACAGTAATCTATTTTGAAAACGTATAACCTTTAACACTCCTAAACTGAACCGTTTTAAAGATATTTTAAAAGTGAGATCTGCACAACGCTGAAAGCAAAAACTATAAATTTGGAATAACTCAATTTGGTGATAATTCAAAACAGATGACGTCATCACAAAATTTTTATGTCAAAAGAAGGCTATTTAAAAACAAAAATCGACGGGTTCGAGCATTTTTCGCAAAAACATTACATAACTAAATTATACATTTTGTTCCAAACTTTATGCATACTACATGTATTTTTATTTTAACTTTTTAAATATTTAACGGCAACAACTATTTATTACTATCATTTATCGATAATAATATCGATACTTCAATATATGTATCGATATATCGATATTAACCGATAAGATTATTGTGTCGATTATCGATATTTAAATTTCAATATCGCCCACCCCCACTACCAACCGCATACCTGGGCTGATTAACTACTCTTTATGTCTACTCTTCTTGTCTCTCCTTCAATCATTGATTTTATAAATTAAACTTTAGCATGGGTATTTGGTATTCAAATTTGTACAAATGTGATTTTAATAATAATGGTGAAAAATTTTTACGTTTTTTTATAAACATTGTATTAAGAAAACTTTTGCTTTGTTTCTCCAATGAGTAATATTTTTGTGAAAGTAAATAAAATTGTAAAGGAGCTTGAGTAACGATCGTTGTGTCAAACATGTGTGTGTCCCAACTTGGTAAATTATACGGCATTATCGCAAAACCGTCTCTCCTTGATGCAAGTCACGTTTCAGATTAGCCATTGTGGCCACCGAACTTGTCTTGCGAAGTTGAGAGGATGCACGGCTACCTTAAAGTTTCACATAATAATACCATTTTAAATCTTCCACTTCAATCAAGTAATTTTTATTAGAAATTTTTGTCTCACTTGGCAAATTTTTGCGACGGAAGTAATAATTTTATCTAAATTATTACAGAATGCCACAGTGTTGTCAGAAACGCCAGCAAAAATTTTTCAAGATTTTAGCAAAAGAAATAATAATGTCCTTGGTAGTGTCATGTTTATATTTTTTTAATCTAAAAAAATGTGAATAAACATGTAGATTATTATTCACACAAACATAATTTAACCCGACACACCAAACATTTGTTTAAAAACACAACGTGTTTCAACTACAAAGTGGTCATCCTCAGGTGAGAGTTTTATTCTCACCTGAGGATGAGCACTTTGTGGTTGAAACGCGTTCTGTTTTTAAACAAAAGTTTAGTGTGCCGGGTTAAATTGTGTTTGTGTTTATCACTCCCATACCAAAAAGATCCAACAAGAAGTAGAGATTATTAATTATTATTTAAAAAATAAATATTATGCGGTTTTGAAGTAATAGAACTCATATATTTATTTCAAAATAATTTTAGTCGTCGATTTGACGACTATAATAAAGAAAAAAATTACATTCCCACTTTCAATAATATAGTTCGTACTCAGCAAATGACAATTTACTTAGTTCTTTTTTTGTGAAAAGCACGAAAGTGTGCGTACGAGAAATATAAAGAATCTGAGTTTATTTCAAACTCTTCGTATGTTCTTGTTGTTTTTCATGAGTCAGCAGTTGAAAACGATAGAATTCAGCAGTTAATAACAAGGTGCTATTTGCATTATTGCATTATTAGATGACGATGTAATTTTAGTTAAAAATTGCTCTAAAAGTTTGGGAGAAAATAAATTAAATGTAAACTAGACTTAAAAAACTCAAAGATAGCGAGGAATTAATGTGAAAATGTTCACAGGTATATAAAGAAATGTCTGAAATGATTTGGATTTTTTGAACGGGATGTGGAAATGAAAGTTTGCATTAAAGATCAAATGCTGACTTAGGTGAGGTTTGATTAGAGGCGAAAGAATTAAGCACAAAAGATAACAAGTTCGGGAAGCCAATCGCCAAAACTAATAAATATGGATTTTATGCCAAGTTACTATTACCAATAAGGTATTCTGTGGGGAAATGTCGATAATTTCAACCCCTAATCAGGTAACAGGTAGAGCAATAAAGTCTTTGATCTTCGAAAACGGTTCCTTCTAGAGTAGATAATCCAGAGTGGATTTCACGGCGTTATGATCCGAGTACGAGGAAGGTAGTTCATGTCAATAGATGCGGGCGCGCAAAAGCCCTTACCTTCTTTAGCTGGCTTTACACTGTCAGACAAACTTTGACTTCTTTAAATTGTTCAAACGGATAAATATCGAAAGACTTCTTTTGCAACTCTCAGACAAATCTAATTACTTCATACTTCTCACTTTATATCAGTCAACATGGGAAAAATTCCAAGTGAATTAGAAATATTTTGAGCTCACATTGTGTTTCCACTCTTCCAGACGTTACCAGCTTTATTATATATGACATCAATCACAATAATCACAGTTGCTAAATTAGTTTCTCTATCCGGTACAAAAACGAAAACAACACTAATTTTTCATTTTATGCCTTGTTTTTTTACCTCAATAACAAGTAGGTAGTTTAAAATAGTTTTAACTGATGTGGATTATAATAACAAAGTTAATACTTTTTACGAATTAGAGGAAAACACTTTAATCAGAATCTGAGTGTAAGCCGGATTAAATCCAAATTCACATATTTTGTAATTAGAAGTTGAATCGTAATGTTGGTTTTGCACCAAAGTAATTATAATATGTGTTTACCTAATCTGATCTTTATGGTTCAAGGTATTTATGCAGTGTCAAGAAAAAACTTCGTAATTAAAAAGCTTTGCAATGTTCAAAATAAATTCTGTTATATATGGATTATGAAGATACATGTACAAAGGAAATTCTTTCCACCAGAGTTAAGATCATATCTTGAATTGTATGTCTGTTATAGAGATCGTTGAAGGGAAATGTTTTTTGTTCGTTCGCCAAGTTAACGTTATAACTAATTTGAGTGACATCGGAGACGAAATCTCGGTCTTTTGGTGAAAACCAACACAATTAAATTTTTATCAATTTATATGAGAAGGAAACATGAAACGTTGTCTTTGAGTTTTGAATGTGTAAGACTTAGAAATATATTGCAAGATTGAACTTTGAGTTGTTTGTCTGTGTTTCAGTGCCGCCTAACATAGACGATTCCCTCAGTAGCAGCGATGTTATAGTAAGGGAAGGCGCCAATGAGACGCTAACCTGCAAAGCTACGGGATCTCCACAACCTAGTGTAAAGTGGAAAAGGGACGATAACTCCAAGATCGCAATAAACAAGACACTTACAGGTTAGTCTATGCTTTTACTTTCCAACTTACTTCACATATGTTTCCATATTATTTCGCAAAGTTTCCTAACGTAGATTGCTGTCCAGACTCAAGCATATTTATTGCTATTTTCACAAAAAGACAAAACTTTTCCTCGAACACCCTTCAAACTAATGAAATTATGGTGACTAATATTCCTAACGAGTATCCCGGTTGAGATTTTTTATTTACAGGCAATAGTCGGTGAAAACTTTGCTATGCTAATTCAGTTTTATATGCAAATTTTCTACAAAACAGGAATTTGAATAGTTCATTCCAACAAATTTAATTTTGAAGATTAATTGTCAAATTGCTTGTTAAATACGGCAAAAATTAATCAACCTTTTTAAAACTTTGCTTAAACTTTGTTTCACAAAATTAACCAAACAAATTCGCACACCTAGCCTTTTAAACTTTTAAAACAATTTATTGTGAAGGTATGTATTTGCCATTTCAAAATGTATGACATAAAAACAATTTTTTAACTGGTAACTGTTTAGAAAATGGCATGAAAAGTAGTTTTGCAAAACTTGAAACTGCTTTCCAACTTTTCTCTATCTCACGCTGCTAATTGACAGTTTCTGTTTTTTTATTAAAATTAATGTAACAGCTTTTAACATTATTACATTTCTTGTTAATTAATGGAGCTTAAAAATTTTTGAAAGTCAAATTTTTGAGTTTTGTAGATGTAAGTGAGTGTAATTTTTTCGGTTTGATGGTCTTTGTGCTTTAAGAAGCAGTAATTGTTTTCTATTTTCAGCACCTACGTTTTTACATTGCTCCTTACACGACAGTACCTCATAACTGTCACGAGTTTTGTTAATTTATTTTCTTTTCACTTAGGTCTTATCACGTTTTAATTGTCTCAAAATGAACGAGTAACCACAAAATATTTCATCTGATTTCAACTAGCTTTCTTGTTGTTTATACACGTAGCTTCGCTTTGTTGGCTTCATCAACTAATCGATTCAAAGGGAATGTGACAGCTTTGCAATCATTTTCGTTAGAAAACAGCCTCGTAAATCATTGTAATTAGCGTAACTTAATTATGATACGCAAAAAAAGTTTTATTTCATTTAATTTAATTTATTGAGAGATATATTGGAGTAAGTCAGACGAGAATAAAATATGATTAGGGTGCTAATTAAAGAATAAACTGTCAAAAAATGATAACAGTAAAACTGAATTAGCGGCATAAGTTTAAATGGTGAGCTTTCTCTGCCCACGTAATCACATAACATGTCATGGAAACTCTAAATCTGGTATGAAATACCGTTTTGTACTTAATTTTTGTTTTATTTTTTATTCTTGGGGTTTAAATATGCTTGACTGTATACATAATTAAATTTGCAGTTATTAACCAAATTTGTCATTCTTCCTCTTGCCAAATATAATATATTTAAAGAGGATAATTGAAATTACATTCCTTTATTTGCCCTAGGTATTGTCTTTGTATTCATTTTTCAGTTTCTGAGTGGGAAGGAGAAACACTGGAATTAACCAGAATTTCAAGATTAGATATGGGAGCTTACTTATGTATAGCCAGCAATGGGGTGCCCCCAACTGTGAGCAAAAGAATCAAAGTTAGCGTCGACTGTAAGTACTATTCTTGAAATTTTTCAATTAAATATCAGAGCCCCGTTAGTAAGTCTGTTACTATCAACCACATTTTTTCTTTTATATTATTTTACAAAAGAAAATTAATGTTTACTTTATTCTGACTGGGATGTAAGTGCGTTTAATATTTAGTTTTGTAACATTACAAGTTTCTTTATTTTACATAACGAAAACTGGTGAATCAAGTGCGTTTCAACTAAATAAGCAGCAAAATGTATAATTACATCGTCCCTATTTTTCGTCGAATCAACTCTCACGCCTGACTAGTTTATGAACTGTAATCTGGTACAGTCAGCGACACAAAGTAGCTACTATTGTGCTTCAGGAAATGGTTTGCAGCTAGATTGTCAAGATTACAATAGCGTCCGAAAAGCACACTAAAATTATAGACTCCACGTCTAATATTGAAATTCGTCTCTGCGCTAACTTCTAAGGGTAGAAAATTTTGTTATTATTTGCATTTTCAACAATAGGAGCGTTTTATATACAGGCTGACCCAGGGGTGTGGTATTTGATATATTGACATATCGTTTTTAACATCCGGTAGATCTACTTAAAGTGTACCATTTAAAAATATTTTTATTATACAGAATGCTCCAGAATTCGCGCCCCAGAGAAAAATGCCATGTAAGGTAAGATACCAGGAATATGGAAAAAATGTTAAAAAGTTATGAGAGTTAAAATTTTGCGCTTTGACTCTATTTATTTCTGTTGGAAAAATAATTTTCCAAGTTTTTTTGCTACAGGCTATTAGAAGAGGAAACAAGGAAGTTATATCATCAATTGTAACTCTGTTTAATGTTATTGTTAAATCTTCAATCAAACATTTTTTTTTGAATAGAAGGTAACTTCCGATTGACAGCGTTGCACTTTGTGGTCAACGACTCTTGGAAGCGACATCCGCTTATTACAAATTAGGCAATACTTCCATTTAAGGAAAGTTCAAATGTACAATTAATGTTATTGCACTTTGTCACCTCATGACAAACTGCTGAATTGCTGACTGGCAACAATTAATGTAGGTCACCACCTGCCAGGATTACCTTATATGGTAATAAGTTCAATCAACTTAGCTTTGTAATAATTGTAAATAAAAGTCAGTTTATCACAAACCGCTGCTCTACTCATTTTCTACCATCCATCAGTGACGTCAGAACCAGGCCATAATTTCCACCAAGTGTGAGGCTGCACTTGGCTGACGTGACAACTCCACAGATTCAAGTCCGAATCTGTTCATAGTCCTTCGAACCAAGAAGTGAAACAGTACCAATTTTGGTGAGGTTCGGGTGAAAGATTCATGTCCGAATCTGTTCATGGTCCTTCGAACCAGGAAGTGAAACAGTACCAATTTATGTGAGGTTCCCGTGAAATATTCATGTCCGAATTTGTTCATGGTCCTTCAAGCCAACAATTCTCATAATTCCGGAGTGAAAAGTGAGTGACACAAGTGTAAAGTGAAGGATCGTGTTACAATACGCGTATCAATATGGCTTCAATGGAAGAATCAAACAAACTCACCCGCTGTCAAGAGGATATCGGGCTAAAAATTAATCAAATACTTACGAATTCCAAAAAAGATTTATTGTCTAGGAAAACTGATGACTATGTGGCCGAGCGCCAAAATACCTTAAAGGAGTTGATGAAAAGAGCAGAAAAATTTCATGAACAGTTGGAAGATTTGAAAGTTCCAGATCATCCATATTTTATATCCGACTACTTTCAAATCAAGAAGAAATATCAAGAAGCCGTCAAATATTTAAACGAGTGTCCCAAAGCAAACCAACAGGGACATCCGAGAACCGAGGAAGAATGAGAACAAGCCATTGAACAAGCAATTGTCGAGATTGAAGAAAGCAGGTATGAGTTCTTCATGAAGAAAATTACTGCACAGTGGAGTCCAATCCAAAAATTCCACGAAGAATTGATGGTCCATCAGACTGACCAAGATTCTTATTTTGAAGACACCATCTGGGAAGTAGAATACAGATACGAAGATTTCATAGCTAAGTTGGAGGCCAAAATTTCAGAAACAGCGAAACCAAACATAAATCTACCGAAAATACAGCTACCCATATTCAAGGGAGGGTATGAAAATTGGACAACATTTCATGACCTGTTTCGGAAAGTGATTCATGAAAATTCTTCTTTAACCAAAGTAGAAAAAATGCAGTACTTCAACATTCAACATCTCCAAATTACTCACGGAAACTACGAAACAGCTTGGGAACTACTACAGAAAAGATACCAGAATAGCCGTCTGATTGTTACCAAACTGATAGATCAAATCTTAGATCTACCACACATTCAGTACGAATCTGCGCATCGTCTAAAACAGTTACACGATGTTGTACACGAGTGTCTAGAAGCAATCAACAATCTGGGTATTGACACTGAACCATGAGGTCCTATCATTGGCAGAATAGTTAGCCGAAAATGGGACAATGAAACAAACAAGTTATATGAGCAATCGTTAACAAGTCCCTTTGAGGTGCAGTCCCTTCCATGTGTGATGACCTTCCTAGAGCGAAGATTCCAATCGCTCGAAACATCCGCCAGTTTCAAGAAAACGGAAAAAATTCAAAATGTTGCAGGACAGACAAAAAGTTACTCGTCCTGTACATTATGCCACCAGTCGCACCCAATCTTCAAGTGTGAAAAGTTCTTGAAGATGACACCAACAGAACGATATCAAACAATTAAAAAGAAAAAAATATGCTTTAATTGTCTGAGTCACGACTTCAATGAAAAATGCTTATCTCAGCTAAGATGTGGCACGTGCAATTTACTACACCATACGTTACTCCACAAAGATAAACAAACAAACACGACACCTGCGAAAAATGCAAAGTCATCCCGGAACTATATAAATGAAACAAACTCAACGCCTGTAGTAAACAATTTAGGCCGAGAGGATCGTTTGGTCGTAGTTGCTGCGGCACTAATTCGAACAAAAACTTCCACTGGTCAAGTGGGCGACTCCCATGAGAATTTACTAAGGGTCGTGAGACACTGCCAGGAGTCTCTTGATAAATACACGGAAAATCGCAATGACGGCAAGTTGTTGCATTATATAAAGAAGCTGTACAGGCTTCCCGTCAAAGTAGTGCATTTGGAACAAACAGGGGTTGGACGTACGCTGAATGGCTTACGCAAGTTAGGGGGCGATGTGGGTGATTCGGTCGAGAGTCTCGTCGCAAAGTGGAAGGAAATGGTGGTAGGAGAACAGGAAGAAGAGGAGGAGGATGACGAAGATGAAGGCGAAGATGTCGAAGAGGAAGATGGGTACCAAAACGGCGAAGAACCATCAAATGACAGCGACGATAAAGACGATCAAGAGACAAAATCTAGTCATCACAAACGTGATAGTGACAAGACTGAAGATAGGGAAAAAGCTAAGAAAAGTAAACAAAGTTCAAAACCAGACGGTCATGGTCCCGAATCGTCCCGAAAAGAAAAACATCGACATAACGGACACAATAAACACAAATCCCACAAACGAAAAAGCGAAGAGCCGAGCAGGAAAGAAGAACCCCTAAGAAAGCGCCCCAAGAAGGAGGAAGGCAAACTCCTACAAGACGGCCAAACTTGTGATTATTATTCAAAACTGCTGAGTGTTCGATTCCGCCGCGGCAACTTACATGAGCTAATTTCAACTGCTCATGTAAACAAATTTATTGCTGAGGCACATAAAAAAAATACCACCAACCTTAAACTACCGACGCCATAATCAAGATGATCTTCAACAAACCGCGCGGCAAATCAGGACCGAGATGATTAAACTAAAGCCCATCTATTCTTCAACCGAGGCCCGCCAGAATGTTTGATCTTCAATCAAACATTTTTTTTTAATTGAAGGTAACTTCCGATTGACAGCGTTGCACTTTGTGGTTAACGACTCTTGGAAGCGACATCCGCTTATTACAAATTAGGCAATACTTCCATTTAAGGAATGTTCAAATGTACAATTAATGGTAATGCACTTTGTCACCTGGTGACAAAGTGCTGAATTGCTAACCGGTATGGTAATAAGTTCAATCAACTTAGCTTACGTTACATTTTTGAATTGTATATATAGATCCTAAATTGTAAATAAAAGTCAGTTTAGCTCAAACCGCTGCTCTACTCATTTTCTACCCTCCATCAGTGACGTCCGAACCAGGCTATAATTTCCACCAAGTGTGAGGCTACACTTGGCTGACGTCACAACTCCACAGATTCATGTCCGAATCTGTTCAGTTATTTGTGGCTTTTATTGGGAAAATTTTTGTACCTCTACTAAATAATTATAAAAAAAACATATACAAGATCATCAGTATTTTTAAATAGACATAAAAAATGTCAAATGTCAATTTTTTTTTCATATTCCTAGTATCTTATCTTACTTGAAATTTTATTGTGGGGTGCGAATTCTGACACCTGTGTAAAAGGGTGGTGAACTAAAGTTATATTTTTTAAGTGGAACAGCCTATACATTTTTACATTATTCGTTTCTACATAAAAAATTATGAAAATTTGTGTAAACAATTATAGGTCTATCTCTTTCCGTTTCAGAAAAATTCAACTTTTTCTTATATAAAGTAGTAACATTTCATAAAAAGTCACTGCGAAGTCGGCTATGAATATTTTCCATCAAGTTTTCAAAATAAAAACTCCAAATATCTTATAGTTTTAGGAAATAGTCGACTTTTAGTTCAAGCATGTGCCAATACACAAAAAGTTGAATAACTCATTTTTTTAATGGAACACCTGTTTTCACATATTGATAGCATTTTTGACAAGCTTTTCATCGATATGCGGTGTGTATATAAAATTCGGACTATTTCTCGAGATTTACAAAAAGTTTTTTATTATCAATAATCATGTCACTATCAATATATTATAGTTGTTATTCTACACCTTAATGACTTAAAAAAGTTATTCTTATTGTAAAAAATAAATTGTTATTTGACTGACAGATTCACTGACAGCATTGACAGCAG